AGAGAGAGAGAGAGAGAGAGAGAGAGAGAGAGAGAGAGAGAGAGAGAGAGAGAGAGAGAGAGAGAGATCTGTCACTCTGGCACACGAATTCTGCACCCAATTCAACTGGGCTCCTATGCCCCATGAACTAAAAATTTTTTTTGCCCTTGCCGATTCGACCTGGCAATTGATTGCCCTCCTATATCCCACACATTACACAAAGCATGTGCTTTGAGACCAACCATACATGATGCTTTTGACTCCACACACCGACCAGATGATGCACACACATCAAACCACAGGTGAGATGTACCTCGAAGATAATATCCGCCAATCAATTTGATATACAAGACGGTATGTACAAGACACGACTATGGCTACCAAAAAAACCGCTATGGTCGCTTCCCTCTCCCGACCTTCCTCCTCTCCCCCCCTCCTCTCTGTCCAAGGTCTCTCCTCTCCGAATACCCCCCTCGAGTATCTCCCTCACCACCTCACAGTTGACCTGGCTGTGTCTACTCCCTAAAGGCGCCCAGCGCCGTACACTACACCTGCCTGCCAGACCCAAGGAAACGGTGCAAGTTGCAGTACCCCCAAACAGCGCACATTCTGAGGGCTCAATGTCATAGACATTGCTATACATTCACCACTGCCACAGAGGTCGAAAGCTCTGCCAATACAGGAAGACGGAAATGCAAACACAGAAGTGTGAATCAACAGCAGTTACGTGCACACGCTTTGCTGAGCAGACAGGACGTCTCTTTGTCCCCCTTCCGTGCACTCCCTTTTTTTTTTTTTTTTCTTTTTTTTTTTTGAAAGAGACAGTAAAGGAAGTAGGCAAAATGACTCCGTAACTTTGGGAGGAGTGCTTTTCTGCGCAAAAAAGAGGAAAGGGGCACATAACACAGGGTAAAGCATCTACCGTTTAGACCATGCTCGCGCTCGGAGTCCGACTTTTTTGGGACTTTTCAAATGGATATGGTACTGATATGAAACACACTTGGCAAGGTCCCCCGTCATCCCCCTGTGCCACGTGCGAATATGCCGTTCGTTTAAAGCCAAAAAAGATTATCCCACACATCTCCTTTCGCTTCTGATGTGAGATACTTCCCGTCTTCACCCGAATATAACATAACACCCGGCCATATACTCTGTATACGGAGTGAAAGTTGCCCTACATACCGCAATATTGACCAGGCGTTCTGTTCGGGCGAAGACAGTAGCAAGCAAAGATGAGCAGCAGTAGCCGTCTCTACGACACAATACTCGTCGGTTCACCCCAGAAGCTACACCGCTTATCCCAATGTACCCTGCACACCTTCACACGGTACTACACCCTCACAGAAACAAACTGCTGCCCTGTTAACCAACTTTGCCAAGCATTCTCATAGACATCCTCCTTCCCCATCGCGGTTGAAGATACAATCCTTAAGTCAAGACTTCCACACCATTCTACCCTCATCCACAGGCAAATCGTTGACCAACGTGTTCACCAAAGTGTTGACCAGCGTTGACCAAAGCGTTGATCAGAATTGACCGGCGTTGACCAGCGTTGACCAGCGTTGACCAGCGTTGACCAAAGCGTTAACAAAAAGAATTGACAAAAAGCGTTTACAAATATCGTTGACAAAAAGCGTTTACAAAAATCATCGACAAAAATCGTTGACAAAAAGCGGTGACCAAAGCATTGACAAAAAAGCGTTGACAAAAAGCGTTGACAAAAAGCGTTGACAAAAAGCGTTGACAAAAAGCATTGACCAAAGCGTTGACAGAACAATATCCTGAAGCCTCTGCCGTTTGATAAGAATCGGCCATCGTTTCCCCTCCCCTCTGTCAATTTGCCCTTTTTTGGTCACTGTCTGGCAGTGTCTGCATTGCATTTCCTTTTTTTCTCTTTTTCTGTCGGCGGCGACAGGGTGTTTTTTTTTGGTTTTCCTGGCTCTTGTCTCGCGGCATTAACAAAAAGCGTTGCCGAAAGAGACCGCACAACCGGAAGTATGGCAATTGCATGGGGTAAAAACAAAAACAAAACAAAACAAAGCTACACTTCCATAGACAAAACAAAAGTAGACTTCCATAGAGCCTGCTGGGTTCGCCTCTGTCGGTGTTACATGTGGTGGATCGGAACAAAGCATTCGGTGAAATGTCCATGGACCTTCAGCTGGGTAACCGCGTGAAGACCGAGGTGAACTCAAAATCAAAATTTTTACCGCCGTAAATCTTTACAGACTTTACCTGAGCATTTGTAAAACCCATAACCAACAGATCATGAGTTATAATCCTTGAGGGAATCAGATCGATTACGGGAAAAGAAAGTAAAAGAAAAGAAAAGAAAAGAAGAAAAAAAACACCAAAAAAAAGGCAATTAGGAGTGATGAAAAAGAAGTCAGAGAAGGGGACGACCTTTCCGCTGGGTACGCGTGTTCAGACAGAGGTGAACTCACAAGCGTTGAGGGCCGAGTCGCTCATGCCTTCGGCTGGCTACTTGTATTAGCTGATATTCCCCTGCAGTCAATTCAAAACTCCACAGCATTATGGCTCCTGTTAGAGAGCACCAAAATTGCGATGAACACCTACTAACGTCTGCCTCCTTGGAGGCGACTCCTCCTTGGCCCCACCAATCAGACGTGCACACGCCGACCTCACTCCATTCCATAGCCCTCCAGACCATCCATCCTCACTGCAAAGTTGCAAACTCCTCAACGACCACCACCGAACCATTCGGTCCTACATTAACTTCCCCGTCTCTCTCTCTCTCTCTTTTTCTTCTCTCTCTCTCTCTCTCTCTCTCTCTCTCTCTCTCTCTCTCTCTCTCTCTCTCTCTCTCTCTCTGTGTGTCTGTGTGTGTAACATGTGGTCTCTCCCTCTCTCTCTCTCTCTCTCTCTCTCTCTCTCTCTCTCTCTCTCCGTGTAACATGTGGTTTCGAAGTGGAACTCTTTCGCAATCATGCAGATTGCATGTACAAAAATAGACAGACTGAGGTCACTGCTTTGGTTTGCATTCAGATCCTTCACGATCATCCACTTGCCCCGAGACCTACCCGTACGCGGGTCCATGAGCAACCTCTGACTACAATCCCACAGATATCATACATGCAAACTTTGGTCTTGCTGCCGCCAGTAAGTGAGCTGCATATCCAAATCCATTGCAGAGATCTGCAGGCCCACCCTCCAGCTCGAGTCCTGTCCCATTCGTTTGCCCACCACAATATGCGGCTTCAAGGGAAACTCCCACAGCAACCTCGCAGAAATAAAAATGGAAAGCTGCCATTGTCGAACTCCTTAGCGTTCCTCTGATGATCATCACCCTTCCACACCGTCGTCGGTCTGCCTTTTTGGGCCATTTCAGCTCAACTGGCGCTGTCCTTAACCCCCCCCATCACGTTCTTTTCGCAAACTTGCAGCCATTTGTATTCCCCAGATGCTCATACCCTTCCACACCCACCGTCCACATTTCGCCGACCTGCCTTTCTGGCCCATTTCAGCTCAACTGCAGCTGTTCTTACCCACCCACCACTGCCTTTCGATGTGGCAAAATCTCAGCTCGAAATGGGTCTGTTCTTAAGCACCCACCATTGCCTTTCGCCGCCCTGCCCGTTTGACCCATTTGACCTCAAACTGGGGATCCGCTCATACCCCCACCACTGACTTTTGATGCCTTCCGCCGGCCATACCTATATACAAGGGGGTTTTGAGTCAGTTCACCCTATCAGCCCACCCAAGCCTGCTAGCAGGCTCCGCCCCATGGCAGTCCAGCGATCTAGAATTGTGCCCAAGAGAGGTTAGGTACAATCAGCTTGCAGGCAGTGGTAGCTTGAGATCTGGTTCCACAGAGACCTTGTCGCAAAGGGATCTGGTCCCACAGATCTGGAACCGGAGACGAGGCTCTCACCACATGCCTGTTGGATTGCTGCCCACAAATATTGGCGTCGCCTTCCGCCGCCGCCAGATCTTTGCAGTGAGCCTTAGCAGACAGAGGTTCTGCGTGAGTGCCACCCAGGGCATAGGCACACACCTTCTGAAATGTATTGGACTGCAATTACCGCCAGACCTAGATGTATGTAGCTGTAATGACGTCTAAAATCAGTAGAGAAGTCCTAGTCTCCACTCTATATCCCCTCAACAGTATCAAACAGAAAACCCCAAGAAGCATCAAACATCTAGATAGACATTGCATTTCTTCCCCCAAGCAGAACGCACCGAGCATTTCTAACAAATCATCTTCGATATTGCAAGCCCATCTTCTGGGCCCATTTCTACCATCTTCCCCCGAGAATAACGCACCATCGACATAACGCATGCAAGCTATTTTTCCGGCCAATACAGTCACAACGAGGATGCACTGTTTTCGGCGAAAGATGGTAGTCCCCTGAAATTTAAACCCTGAACGACCACCAGTGCCCTACGCTCGCCGTCATTAGTTCACAGTGATTCCCCAAGCATGGGCGGACCCATTCTTCCTCAGCGACGCCATGTCCACCAAAAGGAAGAGCTACCGTATGGAAAAGGAGCCTGTAGAAAACCCGCCAGCCTGCCGTACAGACACCAAAAAAAGGAAGAGCAACCGTACGGAAAAGGAGCCCGCAGCTGAATGGTACAGACCCATAACTGTTGATAAACAGGCCGAGAGTTTAAATCCTGTCGTATACACAAACAAGGTTAGGGAATCAGCCCTTTCGAAAAGCCTTGCGATAGGACTTAGGGCTTCAAGCCTCTATAGGACTCCGTCTAGGAAAAAATGCTCAAGAAAGCCAAGTGGGTCATTCCAAACCTTGGGTGAACTGAACCCTGGAGAGCACTCCCGCACCTGATACCCCGCCTCTACAACAACCTGGGCGTTTTAAAAAAAAAAAAAAAAAAAAAAAAGAAAGACAAGCAGAACGAACCTGTCAGTCTACGGTGCAGCCCCCTCCTCGCAATGGAGGAAATTCATTCACATGCATCCCCCCTCTTATAACTTCCGAAGAGGTCAGCGATCCATTCACATGCTGCACGCTCATTTTTTCACTGACTCCTTAACGTCCTCTTCTGCCCGGAAAATACGCATCCTGCACGTGAATCTCTCAAGATTCCACCCCACCCCCGTTAACAACCAACCAGGTGCGTATTTTCCGGGCAGTACGCACCCTTTAATAGTCCGGCATGCCCTCCTCCCTTTGCGCTCCCTGCAGCGGGCAGCCAACTGCCGCATAGCTGCCAATCTCGGCCCGCCAATATCAAGCTTATCTGACAACTAGATCATATGCTAGGAAAGGAATGCCTTGTCAATTTGTCGCAACTCAAAAAAAAAGGCAGTGAAGAGAGCACGTGGGAACCAATCCGCCTGGCTCCAGGCCCACCCACTGACAAAGCCAGCCGAACTATTTCGAACCCAGCAACGCTAGCGGCGTACATTCATCTCCTTTCTGCAGTCCTCTGGGTCAACAGCTCATGGGGGTAGCAATTGAGCTAGGCATGTTGGCTGCACTGCAATGCTAGCGGTGCTTCTAAGGTTCCCCMCCTCCGACGCCTGATCTCCTATACCACCCCCCCCCCCTCCCCTACATGCAGATGCCAATCCCGGATGGAAAGAATACTGCACATGCATGCATTTACCGTCCCTTCCGCACCTGCATCTTCAATACTGTCTCACACTCCATTTCGATCCACCTAGCTCTTGCGGTCCCCACTGACCACGCATCTTGTACACTGCTCCCTCCCTAGGGTTCCCCACTCCACGTCCAGGTGATGAGAACCCCGCGACGGCATGCATTTACTGCCCCTTCTGCACCTGCATCTCCTCCTATCCTTCCATATAACTCCATTTCCGCCCACTGCGCTTTTAGGGTCCCCCCTCCCCTCCGACTGCTAATCTCCTACACCCCCTCTCTAAACCGCCCACTCCCAACTCCACCAAGCACTTTTCAGAATGCTGCAAGGGGCATGCATTTACTGGCCTTTCTGCATCGGCATCTCTTTATACTCTTCCAAGCTCCACCAAACACTTTTCAGCCAGTCTATCCATATCACACCCGTGTGCGTCTCGCCATCTACCTTTCTTCACTGCTGCCCCCATGAAAGAGCCTCTGTTGCGTTCTACGGTTCTACCACACCATCTCCTATCCCTCCCCATACTATACTACCTCGCTGTCTTGGAGATGCATCCGTTCCCATAGTCACTCCATCTCCCACCCTCCACCTTGCTGTCACTCCCGCCCTCCATTCTTTCACAATTGTTGTCGCTACCAGCTTGAGCTCGGTTTGGGGAGATGATCGCGTGTATTGGAGTCTTGCCCTGTCAGGCTATTACCGATGTGTGTGGACTGCGATTCCCTTAACACGCGCTCTTTGTGCGATTCCCTTGAACTCTGTGCTCCTGTGCTCCGGCCAGTTACGCATGGCAGTCGCCAGATCACTCTTGTCCTTGATCCTTGCGCGATACATTCCTTGGTCTCCCGTCCAAGCCCAAGCTCTTGCTAACTTTTGAGTCTGCAGCTGCACAGCAGCATGATGATGCCGTGTGCCCTGATCACGAACCGGCGGGGTCCATCCTCCCGTCGTTGTGTTGCGTCACCATCTTTCACCTTCTGAAAACTTTTGGCAAAAGTTCTGCAAGCTCGCAGCCCTCACTCCGATCCTCGAGACAGATGTTTCTCGAATGCCTCCGGAGAAAGAACATAACACCTAATTTGTTCCATTTGCTCTGGCGCAGAGCGAGCCTCCTAAGGCTGTAGAATACATTCGTTGCACCTGTGTTAGATTCGTCTCCGTCTGCCACGTGCCTTCGAGGAAACAAGAGTGTGCCCAAATCATGACGCCATCACAATTAGGTATCTTGACCTCGCGAGCCCCCGCTTAAGGAGTATACACACTAAAACCAGGCGTTGAGAAACCGGCAGTACACCGACCGATTAAACGCTCCCAACCTCGGCACGCCCATATCTTCCCAAGGGTTTGAACCTATGCCCTCCCAGAACCGTGTTCTTCGCCCAACGGACACGTGCCTGATCTGCACCATGGCGCCGCTCGATTGGCCGGCTGGGTCCTCCTCCTTCCTTGCCACTTCTAATTCCATCTACAAACACATTTGTCGCAGACTCTTCCGCTGACACTTGCCCCGATGAGGAGGTCGCAACGTCTCCGAGCACCTTCGATAATGACGTCAGGGTGGACCTTGGAACAACCCAATCAACAGTCCGCTCGACCGTCCGCCCATCGTCTCCTGCATCTAGAACCGCTGACACTCCATTGGTATCTCCATGTAGTTGGTCACTAAGTTGTTCGGCTGCTTTACGCCTCCGTTGACCGAGCCCTTCCTCCAATGACGAGCTCCCATTTTCCCTAGCTTCCACGGTTGCCTCCGCTTTCCCTCCTTCGAGGTCGCTTTCCCCTGATCCCTCTGTGTTGGGTTCACCACCTACACCTGCAAGAGCACTGTCTGCTGCACCCGCCCTCTCCTGCGGTGTTTCGACAAGAACACCATCTTCGACTCCGCTCTTCTCCTCCAGCTGTGATCTTTCTTCCGTCCTGCTGTTCGCATCGCCGACCTCGCCGACCTCGCCAACCTCGCCCGCACTCGCATCGCCTGATAGTGTGCGGTTCGGAATCCGTTTCTTACATTCGTGCAGCTGCACATTTAACGCCTCCACAAGTTTCTTTAAGCGATAATTTTCGTCCGTCAACTCCAATATTATCTACAAGTCGCAGCACCACGCAACATTAAGAAAAGTGTGAGTAATAGTTTCTCTAAAAATTCACAGCAACATGCAACACGGACAAAAGTGTAAGTGATAATTTCTCTATGCGAATCACCGCGAATGTGGCTGAATGGTCCACATGTCACTGTCGATAAACAGGTCACAAGTTCGGTCCTGACAGAATAAGTTCGATACAATAATGGTAGGACCTCACCCCCTTTGGAGAAAACAACACACCCAAAACAAAACAGAGGTCGGGCGCACCGTAGCTTTGCGCGCCGTGGAGTGGGTGAACCCGACGACCCGTGCATCGTAGGAACTTGGGCAAAGAGGGCGTCGGGTTTATTCGCTCCACGGAGAGCGAAGCTACGGCGGAAGGAAGAGAACGACACTGTCATTTCGCTCGCCAAGAGGGTGGAAGGAAGAGAAGGACACAAAGCAGGATGCAGATGGTACAAAGTTGTGTGTTTCAAGTCACCAGAAAACCATCATGCCAAGAAATCCATTCGTATCGGAGACAGCGGGTGAGAGTCAACTAAAGCACACAGACGAGAGGAGCCAAGTACAGTCAGAGGAAATTGGCACAGTTCTGCATGTGCACAGTCACAGAGAGTTTCAACGCAGATACCATCTGACAATGTAACTAAGTACAGAAACCGTCTATCACAGTTTGTGTGTAGTTTGCACCCAATCCCATCTCCGTATCCCCTCCCTCCTTCCCACTCTTCCCCTCTGCCCCTCGGGCTCCGGGAACCCCTTCTTCCATCCTTCTTCCCCCCTTCTTCCCCCCCTCTTCACACCTCCTCCCCCACTCCTCCTCTCCGCCCCTCGGGCTCCGGGAACCCTAATTTCCCAACCCCAAAAACAAAGAGAACCCACCCCCAAAGTGTGACACACACAGACAGACAGACATGACTCTCACAAAGCAAAACAAAACAAGAGCACACCGCTAGGTGGTCGTATGTGAACTTGGCGGCCTTATGAGGCCTGGGTGATACTCTGTGGGTTGGGCAGTACTGTGTACATGCTGTTTTCATACGGTCTGATTCCTACCCCTGTAACTATGGCTAGTTATTACTGTTCTACCCCTCCTTCGGGACCATGGAAACACAGCACAAGAACAGAGTACCTAAGTACAGCTTGGGGACCCCCCCCCCCCCCCGTACCCGCCTTCTCTTTTTCTGTCTATCGCTTGTTTGTGCATGCTGCTTTTTGTAATGAACGTTTTCTCTCCGAACATTCTCTCATTAGCGCATGCTGTATTTAAAATTGGAACAATACGGAGAGGGTAGCAAAAGGGGGTAGCTGACAATTGGTTAGCATTCTTTTTTTTTCTGTTTTTTTGCTTTTTCTCTTTTTGGAAATTAGTAAATTACCTCTTCCTCCCCCCCCCCCCCCCTCAAAAAAGAGCCCATTGTCCACCTTTTGGGAACATTTTGAGAGAGGAGAAAACTTCCCGTGTGGTTCCCTGAGTGAATTTGGCCATAATTCCATTCTCAATTTCTCACACAAGTGGTTCCGTGCATGAATGGGGCCATAATTCCTTTCTCATACATTCCAAAAAGAAAGAAAAAGTGTGAGTGTGGCCAAAGCGATGGTGGGAAACAAATAAAGCACCTACGTTACGAGAATGGCCCGGGACCACTTGCTCAGCTGTGCCAAAAACGAATTAAAAAAAAGGGGAAAAAAAATCTTTTATAAAATTATTTTCAATTTGGCAAAGAATTTCGATGTATGAATTTCGATGTATCGATGTTTCCCTGAGGCAAAAACAAAACGGTCAGCTAATTTTTCTGCACAACATAGTTTTTTCCCCAGATTTTCTTTCTTGATTTTTTAATTTCTGCACAACATAGTTTTTTTCCCAGATTTTCTTTCTTGATTTTTTACACAACATAGTTTTTTCCCCAGATTTTCTTTTTTGATTTTTTACACAACATAGTTTTTTTCCCAGATTTAAAAAAAAGTCGGTCAGCTAATTTTTCTGCACAACATAGTTTTTTTCCCAGATTTTCTTTCTTGATTTTTTACACAACATAGTTTTTTTCCCAGATTTTCTTTTTTGATTTTTTACACAGTTTTTTTCCCAGATTTTCTTTTTTGATTTTTTAGTAAATTTTTACACAACATAGTTTTTTTCCCAGATTATCTTTTTTGATTTTTTACACAACATAGTTTTTTTCCCAGATTTTCTTTTTTTGATTTGTTTATACAGGTACCTTCCCTGTGTCTTTGCCCGGGTAGGCCGCCCAGGCAACCAAGGTGACCCCGGCAGCCCGGTTGGTAATACAGTAAAGCACAGCAAAAGCAGGTGCAGAAAAAATAATAAAAACTCACATCTTCTTGTATCTTGTGAATCCGGTCTTCCTCCGTGTTCAGCTTCTTTCCAGAAAGATCTGTTGCCGTCCTAGGCGGTTTCCACTCCGACTGCGATGTCAGAAACAGCACGAGCAAGACCAACACAAGGGCCATAGATCGCGACATCCTTTCGCAATCCGATTCTGGATACGGAGCAAGCTAATTAATGTCCGCAGGTCACATCCCCAACCACAACGAGCACGTCCGCACCAGCCGTAAGTACCTGCAAAAAGACTTCAAAAAAGAAGAAAAGAAAAAAAAGACAAAATCACAAATACACAGATTTAATTAGGGGGAAAAAAAAGAAACAGATTACTGAAACAAAAAAAAAAAAAACATAGATAACAAAAATTACTGGTTTGGGCACTCGAACCCCCAGTACTTCCTAAAGTCGTGCCCATAAACAAGCCACTATTTTAGGAAACGTACGCACCACTACAGGAGCGCCCAAATTCATCCGACTAGAAACGTTTCTAGCAACTTTCTACTCTATTTTTTTTCCCCACGGCCGATAGCTGGGCCAAGTACTGGTGGCTTAACTTTGTCGTTATTCTGGGCACAATTTTGGCGTTTCGTGAACCTAATTCACCAAGGCCGGCTGTCGGGAACCCGGTAAAAAGGCCAGACGATTTCAATTTTTAAAAATGCCGTAATTGCGGCCAGGAACATCAAAGTTAAAATGGCCAAGGGGTATTAATTCAATTTACTATTAAATAGTATTAAAACAAAACAAAACAAAAAGAGTGCACAGAATTATTAATTTTAGGAAGCAAAAACAGTTGAAAACTACGATACATATTACATAAGCTATCCAAGAAAAAAGGAAAGAAATACACAGAATCTTTCAAAAAAAAGAAACAAAGCATAGACTATTGGAAAAAAAAAAAGTCTTGTCAAAAAGAAGACGACAATGAGAAATCAATCAACTTGAGCCAAGTCAAAGATGAAGACGGTTGAAATCAAAACGATGTAAGCACGATTGCAAAATATTGCAAAGCGTGCATGCTTGCACACACACAATACAATCAGCGACCGCTGGGAATGGCACCGCCACCGGTTTCGTCGGCCGCCACGCCATCTTCTTCAGCGGGAAGTCCACCAAGACAACCACAACTCTGCCAGTTTCGGCACTAACCCGCTACCGCTGCTCGTAATCCGAAGCCACCGGAAGCTCCGGAATACACTACGCTGACTGCGACGTTACAGCGATGTTACTGCGACGTTACTGCGATGTTACTGCGATGTTACTGCGACGCTACTGCGATGTTACTGCGATGTTACTGTGACGTTACTGCTAGACAGTCAGTGGAGAGTGATGTTGCAGGCTTTCACGTGTTCCTTGACTGAGATATGAACACCATCCGGTCCGACCAATCGAGTATTAGATTGGAATCTAGATCGTGTTGATTGTTCGAGACCTCACTCAGTGTCGGAACAGAACGGTTTTAGGCTGATCCCCTTAAGGGTCCGCAGAGGACAATTCTTACTACGGGATCTCTGAATTCTCCTTGGTATGGTACCACCGTGGAGTTATTTCCCCAGTTCCCGCGATCTCGAAGCGATGTTACTGCGATGTTACTGCGACGTTACTGCGATGTTACTGTGACATTACTGTGATGTTACTGAGATGTTACTGCGATGTTACTGCCGTGAAAAAGGACGTCGACAATCATTACGAGCTATTAATAGTAGCAGAAGACAACACGCTCAACTCCGCAACACCGCTACCTTCTTCCCCCGAATACAACATGCGGTCATTATAGCTGTATTTAGACTGAAAGATGCCCCAAATACAGCTATAATGACCGTACGTTGTATTCGGGGGAAGAAGGTAGGTACTTAGTAGTCAGCAACAAGTAAGCCTGAACCTACCGCAACAAATGTACACAATCCATTCGAAAGAATCCTAAAGTTGTCTCGAGCCCAGTACTTTGTCGGTCTCGTCGAGCTCAAAGGAACCAAAGTAGAACCTGGTTCAAGTCCTACCGGTCGCTGTAAAAGATACCGCACTTAGTCCTTCTCATGCATCAGATACATTCGAACAAGACCGAAAAATGTCTCAAGCCTGGTACACTTGTCCGAGGAACTAGGGACAGGCAGAACACTCCAGACAATATCTCAGGTAAAAAACGAAGGTTCAAGTCCTAATCGTATAACAACACTATCAAAATTGCGAACTGGTCGCACGATCGAATCCCAGCCAGCATAGGGATTTCGAAAGAACCGACAGCCACATGAAATCGACAACCCCTGTCAAAGTGTCTTTTTTAGAGACATGTCTTTTTTTTCTTTTTTCTTTTTTCTTTTTTCTTTTTTCTTTTTTTTTAAGCATAGGGGCATGTCTTTTATTTGAACGCCTACTTACAATTAAACATTAACAATTGCATTGTCGTGTATAGGAGGGAGGGGGGGTAGGGATCCGGAGGGAAGTAAGGAAAAAAGACCACAACAACAAAACATTAACAAATCTGGCCAGAGAGATAGCCGATAATAGCCATGGCTAATGGTCAAAGTGCTGGCTTAGAGGAGAGAGAGTAGATTATAGTGATAGCAGATTATAGCAAGCAATAGTCAATAGCACTTTGACTATTGTTCATTAGTATAGCAATAGCTAATGGTCAGTAGTGCACTTTGACTTTAGCTAAGGGCAGTCAAAGTGCACTTTGACTATAGCTAAGGGAAGTCAAAGTGCACTTTGACTATAACAATAGCTAATGGTCAAAGTGCACTTTGGCTAAGGGGAGTGATAGCAGCTTGTAGCAAGCAATAGTCAATAGCACTTTGATTAGTGTTCGTTACTATGGTAAAAGTGCAGTTGAAAACCACAGCTTCTGTTTGGGGCGGAGGAGGCGCTGAGTTTCTTTTTTTTCTTTTTTTTCTTTTTTTTTCCTTTTTTCTTTTTTTTTCTTTCTTTTCTTTTTTTTTCTTTTTTTTCTTTTTTTCTTTTTTTTTTCTTTTTTTCTTTCTTGTTCTTTTTTTTCCCGACCACTACGACGATTTTCTGATCATTACAATTCCTATCTGCCGCTGGTGATTTTTTGGAGAGAAGTGAGAGAGTGATTTTTTATTTTTTATTTTCCTCTGAATATTACCTTTTTTGGACTTTTTTCTGAAAATTACGGTTCCTTATCAACCGTTGGTGATCTGAAGAGAAATGAGAGAAGCCCTCCCTATCATCTTCACGCCAAGAGAACCTACCGTCATAATCACTGTATCTAGACTGAAATCGGCCCAAATGCAGACATAACGACAGGCATCGGTCGACCTAACGATGATTAATTTATTGACCATCACAACATCATAATCGCTGTCGAACCGATCGGCCCCAGGTAATTCATAATTTTTTTATTTTTTATTTTTTACACTTTTTAAAAGTGCAACGTGCCGACGGCCATGAGATTATCACTGTCGAACCGATCGGCCCCAGGTAATTCAGAATGATTTTCTTCTGCTCAGCTGATATCATCTGGATTTGAACTCGGGTCTGTACTGCAACAGCGCATGGGGTGTACCAACTGAGCATGGCGTTATGAACTTGGACAGGGCCCACACCATTTCTTAAATTGGGCGTGTACCTTCTTTGCATTTGCACAGGGCCCACATCATTTCTCAAACTGCACGTGTATGGTTGCACACGGCCCACGCTCATCTTCTTCTTTTTTTCTCTGTCCATCGTTCCATTTTTTTTTTTTTTTTTTTTTTTTGACCATTTCTCGAATTACACGTGCACAGGGGCCATGAAGGCTATCAGGCCACCCTAAGGCTATCAGGCCACCCTGGGCTGAAAAGGCCATCGTTGTCAGATTAGACACAAGATTGAATTTACCTGGGCTGGTTAGTCCGATGATAAAACCTCAA